CTGAAATATGACCTCGAGCAAGCCCGCCCATTCGAGCGATCGTTGACCAAGCAGTGGCCAATCCAGGAAACAGACGGAGAGAGAGAGAGCGAACGAAAAGGCGATGAGAAAAACGGGAGCCCAATTAACCCAACAAATTATGCACGAAATCGATTCATGCTTTAGCGAGGGGCAATGATCCATGATTTGGGCCCCAATGTGATACTGGTGAATGCTCAAATTTGCTTCGGCCACATCACGGATCGAGAGGGAGTGTCCGGAAGTGACAAGAAGTGTCAGGACAACTGTGAACAGTTTGCTGTGATGTACACTCGGGAACAGCTTAAGAGGTGACATATGCTGGCGATGGCTTTCTCATTAAGAGATTGCTTAGAAGCAAGCTGATAGTGTCGTACTGTAGCAAGATCGCAAAGAATCACAGTAGCTAGGATTTGTGAAATACTGGCCTTCGAAGTTCAAAAAGTTAACTGTGCAACTATATGGTATGTCAGTTGTAAATTTTGGCTTCACTGACCTGACAAACGGAAAGTTGCTGGTGCACGAAAAAGACCCCACGAGAACAGCTGAATATGAAATCTTCCAGCCGCACATTAGTAGGGAACAATCCCTTGAAATTCTAGCTTCCTAGCTTTTCTCGTTCCCGAATCACAAATTTTCCCGCAAAAACTTTTACATGCCCATACGTGAGATACGGGCGGTTCCAAGGAGTTGAATTTGAAGTCTTTTGGTCGTACATGAGTAGTGGACATTCCCCTAAATTTCCAAGTTTCTAGTTTTCCTCGTTCTCGAACTGCCAATTTTCCTGCTAAAACTCTCGTTCGTCCGCATACGAGAGCGAACGGCCCGCTCAGCATCTCACGTGTCCGCCTTTTATGCGTTTTGCAGAACGCTGCAACAGAATGGACATTACTATGAGCCTGTATGTTTGTTGTGTTCGTTTGTCCGTGTCTTTACTCAGGAACCACGCAAGCCTTTATGCTGAAATTTTGGCCAAGCGTGACCAGGGACATGATATCAACTGCCGTGCACGTCTATGTCTCATGTACGGATACGAGAAAGTTTTGGGGGGAAAATTCCTAACTCGGGAACGAAAAAAGCTAGGATGAAACTCCAAGGGAATGTTCTAGGATGAGACTCCAAGAGAATTAAGATTTCAAATCAAACTCTTCTCGTGGAGTCTTCTTTGCGCACTAGCAACTTTCCGTTTGTCAGGTCACAGAAGGCAGCATCTACAGCTGATACACCAAACAGCTGCACAGTTAACTTTCTGAACTTTGAGAGCCAGTATGTCATAAATTCTAGTTACTGTAATTCCTTGCGATCTTGCTACAGCACGAAATAGTGCAAAAACGCATGACCGCACTGGTCCGCCTGGTACATGGGTTCAGATCCATGGGTTCAGATTTTTTTGACTTTGCTTTTTTTGCTTTTATTTATAGACTTGGGCTTGTTTTAATTTGCTTTTCCTTACAGTGCTCTCTCTCCTTTTTATGCGTTTTGTGCTGTGTAACAGCAGTACAAAACGTATATTGTCACGGGGTTGTCTGTGTGTGTATTTGTGTCCGCAGCAACTTGTCCGCAACTTTCAACTCGGGAACCACAAAAGCTAGAAAGCTGAAAATTTAAGGGGACGTTCCCCACCCACGTGTGACCCCGCAAATTTAAATTCAGCTTCCTCGTACCCGCGGGTAACACGTATGGCCCCGTGAAAGTTTTTTACGGGTAGATTAATATCTCGGGAACCATGGAGCCTAGGAGGCTGAAATTTTAGGGTAATGACCCCCTGCCCACGCCCAACCTTGCCTATTCAAATTCAGCGTTTCCGCGCTCTTGAGTAACACCTACGGCCTCGTAAAAGTTTTGGCGC